TTTTCTCCTCGACCATCTTCACCAATGTTTCACAGATGGTCCCCTACTAAGTTATAAACTCTGCATTCACCAGCACTCTTTGGCTGCAAATGACAGAAGCTAATGCAAAACTATCTTAAGCAAAGAGAGAACTTGGTGGCCCACGTAACTGGGAAGGATCTGGAGATAAATCAGAACATTAAAGGAGGGCTTTTGGGAACCAGGACCTCAAGGACTCCATGATGACAGTCTCTCTCTCTCTGTATCTCTCTTTTCTCTGGTTCTCCTTGAATGTTGACTGGTTTCAATCCATCCTATGGGAGCCAGACCAGTCAATTCTCCATGTGTTCAAAGACATGACCCTTGATAATCTAAGCTTAACAATTCTAGGGGAAAGGATCTCATCTCTTCCTCCAAGATTCATATTATCAATTCTAAAGACAAACTGGTCAGTTGTAAGTGTGATGTGTGACCCCCACCTCATGCCCAGAAGATGGGAATGAGAAAGCTTCCCAGGGAAGACCAGAACAATGGTCTGTTGCAGGCTCTGAGCTGGTTTCAGACTCTGTTTCTATTATTTCCCAGGGTAAATATAGAAACTTGTATTTTAATCCCACCAATGATTATTCTTTTTCTGTACAACTTTTAAATTTCTTTCTCCATTGGCATTCACCTCCTAGCTCGCTGAGAACATCGGCTGATAATCCATTTGCATCACTCCTGATAGTTTTAGGTTTTGGTTTTCAATTGCAAAGGGAAGAATCAAATCAATTTCAAAATTAAAACACTATGCCTTATAAATATTATTTATTCTTAGAAGAAATTGTTTCTGCTATGTTTGTGATAGTTCTCAGTATATAGGAAGAGAAAAATATAACCAAAAAGAAAAACAAGAAACCAGGAGTCTTTCTCCTTAGTAGGAAGAGAGTTGGGGTCTTTAGCAGTTAGCTCAATGACTACCAGTAGTCTTAGAAGGTTATTTTGTGTGTGATTGAGCTGAGCCTAAGGCAGAGACCACCAGCAATCATTGAACATGGGCTAATGGAGATTTGGGGAAGAAGAAATGAAGTACAGTGACCTAGGTAACATTTCAAGCAATGCTACCCACATTAAGAAGAGTACGAGTTAGAACCTGAAAGCCACACCCTGAGTGACCTCATAACTCTGGAACCCTATGGCAAGAGGAAAGATAAAGCAAGAACCAGCAAGAGCAAAGCAATTAGAGAGGAATTTTCTATTACGTCTGTGGAATGATGTTTAATTGTACATGTGTTTGTGAGGCAGAAATTTTTTAATTAATCCTGGTGATCATAAGACACATATTGGCTACATGCAAATTAAAAACTTCTAACACAAATGTGGGTTATAATTGAATACTTTCATCTGAACGGAAGAGAAAAGAAATATGCCTCCATTGTTGCAGTCTAAAGTGTAAGGACATTAATGATCAGAACTAGGGCTTTTATAAGGCAGGTAATATCAGTGGAATATGATCCCAGCAGGCATGGTCTCCTCTCCCTATAAATCCATGGAGACTTGACTCAGCATGTTCTGGTATTCTGGAAGGTACTGAGATACAGTCAATCCATTCTATTCAAGCCTACCATTTGGAAACACATCCCGATTTTACAAGGATACTTTTTTTTTTTTTTAAGTAGACTTCACTCCTAGTGTGAAGCGCAACATGGGCTTTGTACTCACGACCCTGAGATCAAGAGCCTAACCACCCAGGTGGCCCACAAGGCACGTTTTTTAAGCCAAAAAAATCTGTTGATCTTCTCATCAAAGACAGACTAAATGTTATTTTATAGGAGAGAACTTCTCATTTTATTAAAATAAATGAAGATTCAATACATTAGTAGTCTGCAAATCTGGGGAGGAGTGGGAAATATCAAATTGAATGGCTAAAAAGAAGTAAACTCATATATTCTCACTAATAGATCCTGGTGTACCCGTCTGTTGTCCCACTGCACACCAGAGCATCATCATCCAGTCATTGCTTTAACTGTGGTCCCCCCCACACTCTGCTCTCTTTGACAGGCAGTAAAGTATATCCACAGAAGTCAGCACATGATTGGGTCTGGAGACTCCCCGGGAAACTTCCAACTGGACATTGATATTTCAGGGTTAATCTTCACTCATCACCCCTGTTTTAGCCGCGAGCATGTTTTGGCAGCCAAGCTGGCCCAATTATATGACCAGTACCTGGCAAGACACCAGAGAAACAAGGCAAAATTTCTTACTGACAAGGTACCTTCTTCCATTCTTACTGTCGAAGTGGTTCTTCTGATGAGCCCAAGCAGCAAAGACACCTTCCAGCAGCAGATATTCATGCGCCTCTTTCACACACACACCCTTGACCTAGGATGTGTGATAGATTGTTCTACCCACAGGCAAAAGGAAGGATGTGGCAATGTACATTTAAGGTGTGCACATTTGGTGACACACACTTGGCTTAAAGAGAAAAGTTTGTGCAAACAATGCAAGTAATCTGACCTCCCAGGAGCGGGCATCAAACAGAAGATATGTGGCTGTGTCTTGGTTGTGTGGCCTCACATACTGAGACCGTTCATGGCTTGGGAACCTCTCTGTCCTCAGAGACATTCTAATTTTTACATGTACTTTTCCATAACAGGGTACCCAAACACAGGTCAGTTGTTTCAAATGATGCTCAACGAAATGGATCTCTGACATTTATTTCCAATGTGACACTAATCTGATGGGATTTTCTTGGGTAATTTTGACTATGGGCAACTTTCCTCCCATACCCTGACTTTAAAACTACTTCCCAAATAAGAAATATCTCCACAATACCTCCTTTTACGAGTCTATGATTTTATGATCAGTTCACAAAAATATCACTATATGTCTAGGACCCAGAAAGATCCACCTTTAACCTTGAAAGAAACCTTATTTTTGAGACACACACATGAAAGTAACATTTGTCATGAGCAATTTGATTATCTGGGCTACAGAACAGGGACGGACATACACTGGTTTTTTTATTGCTTTTCTTTTTTAAGAATAGAAGAAACAGCTCTCTGTCAGAGTTCGTTTCGGTGAAAGTGTGGGAACAGCAGACTTGAACATCCCCTCGCAGACTTGCTGGCATCATTTTGTGCTGGAGACGTGGGTGGTTCGGAGCATGTAATTTGCAATAGGTAATAGAATTTCTAACTCAAAACTTTTATCCATATTTTTTTAAGCTCCAAGCTCTAAGAAATGCTGTCCAGACAGGACTTAATCCAGCAAAAACTCCCAAGTCTCTTGATACAACCCAAAAAACTATCAACGAGTATAAATCTGAAATCCGGTGAGTAAACTCTGTCGTAACTTCTACTTTCTTCCCTCTTGTTAGATGTGTACTTGTTGAAACATTTTTTCCTTTTGTTTTCGATTTTTCTGAATGCACTGAATACATGAGAAATTGAACCAAATGAAATAATGAGATATATCCATCATATTAACACCAAAGTTAAAATCCAATAAAAGAATGAGGTTGTAGGTATGGTATTGTGACTCACGCGCTCCACTGGTGTAAACGAACATTGCTATGGCCACCACTTTAGAGGGGAGCCCGACCACAGGCTAGCAAAGTGTGGAAAGTGCCCACAAGCTGGGACCCAGAAATTCTGGATTTCACAGCATCGTTTACAAAAGTAAGGAACAAGGAATAAACCCATGCCAGAATGAACACGTCTGGTATAGTCTTACACTGAACATCTATAGCACAGTTAAACTGACTTAGATCTGCATATGCATAAAACAATGTTGAATGAAAACCCCCAGGTGTTAAGAGGATACTCACCGTGTGATATGGCTTATGAACCCTAAAGAATACCCAACACAACACTCGTCTGGAGGCACACCCATGTGTGGTACACTCGGACAGAAAAGATACAGGTGCCGGTTGCTTCCTCGAGGGAGGGAGAGAAGGGAAAGAAATTCAAGAGGTCTTCCCCTGTAACTATAACATTTGAGCCAAAAAAAATATCCCTGAGTAAATATACAAAATGTGAACACATGTCCTATTATTTATGACACTTTTCTATTTCTTGGCATTTTTCAAAATTAAAATTCAAAAATTAAAGCCCTGATTGCTGTCAAATAAGACGGAACTACGTAACGTAGAAGGGGACTATCTTCTGGAGTCCCATCCCTCAGGGAAAATCACAGTAACAGATTTTTGCTAGTTCTTCCACATGTACATACACATGTACATACTCATGCACGCATACACAGATGTGTTCATGTGTTTGTATTTTTTTTAAGGGACCATTGCACGTACCATCTCACAACTTGATTTTCTATGCAAAATGCATCTCAGACCTTTTCCTATTGCAGAACATCTTGGTCTGTATCGTTTTTTAAAGGCTGACCTCATATAAATGCTATGTCCCCTACTGAAAGGCATTTGTATGATTCCTATTTTTCATATTGAAACTGTACTCTAATTGACATTCCTGTGTGTATATATTTGTGTACCTGTACATTTCCACAAGATAAGTTCTTAGAACAGGAATTAATAAATCAAGGACTTTAAATGCATACTTTTCTTTTTACAGTCGAGCCTTGAGTTAGAAATTCTTCCAGCGAAGTGGAAATTAGTGATGTTGAGATGCTGTCATTGTAAAAGTATGAAGAGTATGTTTTAAAATGAAAATTCTTGGGGTGCCTGGATGGCTCAGTTGGTTAAGTGTCCAACTCTTGATTTCAGCTCAGGTCATGATTTCGCTATTCATGAGTTCAAGCCCTGAATTTGGGCTCTGCACCGTCAGTACAGAGCTTACCTGGGTTTTCTCTCTCTCTCTCTCTCTCTCTCTCTCTCTGCCCCTCCCCTGCTCGCACTGTCTCTCTCTCTCTCTCTCTCAAAATAAATAAACTTTAAAAAAATAAAATGAAATGAAAAGTCTTATTTATGCTAAAACAAAAAGCCCACATTGCAGCCTCCTTGTGAAAATAATTTTTGGTCTAGCATACATTGGTAAGGAAAGGGACCAAAAGCTTTTGGGGATACAGGAGGGGTTTTATATGGACTTGTATTTATTAATCAGCATTTGAAAGCTGGCAGAACTGTGTGGAAGGTGCACAGACCGAGCCAGGGGCAGACCCAGTGCAGTCCTTCTGCATTTCTGGCCCCGCAAAAGAGGGGGTTTTAGTCTTTTGCTGACGTTTAACTATTGCTAAAACCAATTCAAAGCAGACAGCTTGTTCCTGGATGTCCCCTCTAGTGGACCCCTGGCTCCTGCTGACCTGACCAGTGGCCGGTGAGCTCCCGCCGGGCATCGACCAAGTCATTGGCTGGTGCAGCTCACCTCAGCCAGCACCACGGCAAGCATTTTCCATCTTCTTTTCTGTAAACGGCTTCACGACCGCATTTGCTGGTCCTCTGAGCCGAAACCAGCTGTACAAGGAAGGAAGCACGGTGTTGGTGTAAGACAGGGAGACACTGTATTTCACTCTCTCTACTGGATCTTAACCCTCAGACCTACTCAGACGTGAACAAGTAAAAATTCTATGACCCTACAGCCCCATCTGGCTACCGCTTTCTTTCTGTATTTCCCTTCACAGCCAAGCTTGTGGAAAACACCAACCATTCTTGCTGCTCGGCTCCCTCCCCCCCCATCCTGTTCACTGAACTCATGCTCGTTCACCCACTCACCTTTCCTGTGAGGCGGATCTGGCCACAGTTCCTGGGGACCTCTGCCTTGCCAAGCCCTTCCTGCCACCTGACTTCTTGACAGCAAGGGGCCTTGTCATCAGAAGGGTCTATTGTGATGTATTTCTTCCCTTCTCCTCCCTACATCACCCTCTTTGATGTCCGCACCCCTTTCTTGCTGCTTGTCATTCCCACCATCCTGCATCTGTCATCTTTCTCTGCCCAGCTTCGAAACATTCTAAGTCCCCCCCAGGGCTTTTCTTTTTCCTTTCTTTATTAATCTGCATTTCCTCCTGAGGTGAATCCAGTCCCGTGGTTGGAAAGATCATCCAGGGAGGCCAGTGAACTCCCAGAGTTACACCTCAGGACTGATACCCTCTTCCCCCCTCCAGACCCCATCTGCACCAGGTTTCAGAAAAGTGTTACCTGACTCCCTGGGAAAAACTGCCTTTGCCTTTTCCTCCAGAGCCCTGACCACAATTGGTCATTGAATATTCTTTTGTGATGCTTTGCCTCTGTAGCTCTGATGTCAAGTTTTTCTTGGTAAGAGTTTGTTTTTAGCATTTCTGAGAACTATTTTGTCAGGTACTAAAAAAGGGAATAGAAAATATGTTAGAAAGCTTCAAGGTGTCATAGAATTCAGTAAGATATTTTTATACCACAGTTTTTAAAAAGGAGGCCAGGGAGGTAGCAGCTGAGGGCACAAGAGAACAGACCACTTGATAGTGACCAGTAACACTTGCGGGCCACTTATCAGATGTCGGGCACAGTTCTAGCATTAACACTTACTCCTCTCAACAACCCTGTGAAGTAGATTCTGTTAGCACCGCTAGCTTACAGATGAGGCAGGGACAAGTAAATTGTTTGCTAGGTCAGCTCACAGATGAGAGACCCAGGATCTCAACCTACAGAGTCAAGATCCAACATCTATGCCCTTAACCACATGCTTCACTGCTTCTCAAGAAGAAGGTTTCTTAGTTCACTGCTTGCTTGTTTCTGTGAAGTCTTCGGAGAATCCCAAATCTTGGCCACCCAACCACTAACTGGCTGTCGTCTTCCGCCATCTTCTTCTTCCAGAGCCAACAGTCGAATAATTAGGAACGTAGACCTCTGTGCTTCTCTGTACCACCTCCACAGACTGAGTCATCACAAGTACAACCTCCAGACTTACGCCTTCCTCTAGAGGTCAGGAGGTGCTAATTCATGAGACCCTTCCTCTCTAGTTTCCCATGGCACTCTCTTAGGCAAAACTCCCCTTGTTGTAATTGTTTATCTATGTGTATGACTCCTGAGCTAAATTGTAAATTCCTTGAGGACAGAGACACCTCCAATCTTAGGCATTCCCAAATCTCCTGGAATGACACCTGCTACTTGTTCAAGAAAAGAAAAATTGTCTAGTTAACTAGTTGATTAATAGTATAATAGAGTACATTTGGGTTCTGGATTTGACTATCAATCATAGAAAGGGCTTAAAGTAAGGCATCAGATAACTTCCAAACACTCTAAATAATGAGAATAAAAATGAAAGCATTTCCAACTGATGTCTCTTCAAATCAAACTAGAAATATTGTTAATCTAGTTAACACTGAAGACTCATGAAGGCAGGCAGTGCGCAACTTTACTTCTCCTAAATGTAGAACTTGTGGCTTGTGTTAACAGAGACAGCTTTTAATGTTTGTTGTTAACTGAGATAGCAACATAGTTTCCTATGTCTACAATAATTTAGTACATGAGAACTGAGTTTACTGGACCTCTTATTTTTATAACTTCAAAGGTAACTGTTTGTTTAAGGCACATAGTATTAATAAGAAGTTCAGAAGGTAATTTAGTTTAACTGACATCAGATTCACCTAGAGAAAAAAAAATCAACCTCTTGAAACATTAGCATCCTATTGTCTTCAAATTTCCATGCATATTTTTGGATTTCTAGTACTTAAAAAGTATTATAGGTATCAAATTAAATATACAATTGCTATAGCATTAATAGTTTCTTTTTTAATTTACATACCCACCTGAATAACTTTTTAATATATATCAACATGTTCTATCTTCTAGGCAAACAAGAAAACTGCGTGATGCTGAACAAGAAAAAGATCGAACATTGCTTAAAGCCATCATAAAAGTTTGGAAGGAGATGAAATCCCTTCGAGAATTTCAGAGGTTTACAAATACACCCTTGAAACTTGTTTTGAGAAAGTAAGCTTTTTTCAAAGATTGTTTTATTGAGGAAATGTGTAAAACATGGATACAGTTTAAAAAGTAATTACAAATAGGGGCATCTGGGTGGCTCAGTCAGTTGACTGTCCAACTCTTGACTTCTGCGAGGGTCATGATCTTACCATCATGGGATCGAACCCCATGTTGGGCTCTGTGCTGAGCGCTAAGCATGAATGCCTGCTTAAGATTCTCTTTCTTCTTCTTCTTCTGTCCATCCCTGCTCACACTCTCATGCTGTCTCTCTCTTTTAAAAAATTAATTATTATGAATAAAGAGTGACAAATAAATAACAATGTAACCACTCCCCAGGTAAAGAAATAGGACATTACAGGTACCTGAGCAGCCCCCAGGTTCTTAACCCCAACTACTTCCCCCTCCATCCCAGAAGTTACCATTTTCCAGACTTTTATGATCGGCATTTCTTTGTGTTTATTTCCAGGTTTTCCATCTACCTGTAATTCCTTTAAAAAATGTAGCTTAATAACACCTGTATTGGATGTATCCACAAATGAAAGTAGGTTGTGTGTACTCTTTTCAGTGTATTCTTTAATACTGTGTGAGATTCAGCTACTTTATAGCTATAGTTTATTTATTTTCTTTGCTTTATATTCATTATATGACTATAACAGTATTTGTTCATTTTACTGTTAATGGGCATTTGAGTTGATTCTGTTTCTCACTTCTATAGGTACTTTGTACGTGTCTTTTTTTTTTAATATTTTTTATTTATTTCTGAGAGAGAGAGAGAGAGAGAGAGATTGAGAAACAGCGTGAACAGGGGAGGGTCAGAGAGAGAGGGAGACACAGAATTGGAAGCAGGCTCCAGGCTCTGAGCTAGCTGTCAGCACAGAGCCCGACGCGGGGCTCGAACCCACAAATCATGTGATCATGACCTGAGCCAAAGTCGGACGTTTAACCGACTGAGCCACCCAGGCGCCCCTGTACGTGTCTTTTAAGGTACATGTGCCTCAGCCCTCCTGACACATACCCAGAAGTGAAATTGTTGAGTCTTAGGAGATGTGTTTTTCTGATACTCACGTGCTGATTATACTTTTCCAGAGTGGTTGTGCTGATTTGTACTTTGAGCGATGTTCCTTGAGGTCCATATTGCCCGTACCATCTACGTCACTTGGTCTTGTCAAATCTCACACTTTGCCAGTCTGATGGCATGGCTTAATTTCTCATTTCCCATTCATAAATTGCCCATTTTGATTTCTTCTGTTCAAGGCTTTTGTTGACTTTTGAGCTGAACTGTTTGTCTTTGCATCTTTTTCATAATTGGTAGGAGTTTGGCATCTATCCTGGACATGGGGCCTTTGTTGATGTGCATTGCAGATCGCCTCTCCCACTCTGTACTTGTCTCTTTAGTCTCTTTATTCTTTTTCATGGTAGAAATTCTTCATTTTACACGGATAGAATATATTCATTTTTCCTTTTATGATTTGTACTTTTTGTATGCTTCTTTAGAAATCATTTCCCTGAGTCAAGTAGATACTCTATTATATGGCCTCTGTACTCTTTATAGTTTTATCTTTCTCATTCATCTTTAGCCCGTTTGGAATAGATCTTTGTGTATGGTGCAAAGAAAGTGTGCTTTGATAACATGTATGCTGCCTCATCCACTAGACTTTGATACATGATTAAAAGTCGAGTTATCACAACAAAACCGTATTCTGTATATTAATTAAGAAACAGCTCTGCTGCTGATTTTGGTCCCTTCCTGACTGTTTCTTCAGATTTCTTCTTTTCATGTTGTGCCATACATCAACATGAAACGTAATAAACATGGGCATTTATCTGATGCTTTGCTTTGAAGACAGTCCTGTTTTAGCCAAAGATAGCTGCAAGCTGTGATTTTTTTCGGGTTTCATAAATTTCATAATTTTCATTTTTTCTGTCCCTGGACAGAAACCGTCCAGGGACAAAGACAAGACCATGTTTTAGGAAGGCAGGGATCTGGTCACCGTTGGATGTCTGGTCCCGAACAGACCAGCTGCCACTTGGTATCGGGTGAGTTAATAGTAGCTGGTGAAAAACAGATCCAAGTAGTCTGTCCCATAGAAACGGGGGATGTGTCCCAGAAATTCCAGTGTTTCAGCTTCCGAATTCCATCTTCCAGGCTATCCTTCCCACCCAGAAGCAGAACATAAATATTTACCTAATGCTTTCTCTTCTTTCCTTCAGTTTAAGATAAACTAAAATTTATAGGAAATTTATTGTTAAGGTCCCCTCCAGGTGACACTTTTGGTGATATTTAACACCCCATTCTCCCATAAGTACCTGCCTCCTACATTTTTTTGGAGTGCCTTCTTTTACACCCTTGATTCACCTAGCTGCCTTATGATACAGCATAATTGTTTTCCTGTAAAAGTCATTGGATTTCAACTAGTTTATTTATGCCTCCACATACCAGAGAGCAAGATGAATGGCTCATAAATTATGAGCCAGATTTTCTCTGACGTTTCTAAATTTCCAGTACCGCTGTGTTTCCCAAGTGACTTCTTCAGTAGGATCCTAGAGCTCTAAGAGCCTGTGCCTTAGGGGGCTGTTCATTGCTAAACCACCAGGTCCCATGTGTAAGTCAGCAAGCATGCTACATTAGCAAACCTGTGTGAGCCTTAGGCACCTGAGTAAGTTTACCTAAAAAGGACAGGATCTTTAGAAGTAGAACCCACAGCCCAGAGTGCATTGGTCACTAAGCCCAGGCAATGAGCTGCAAAAATTCCAAAGTGCTAGGCTGGAGGTGTTTGGTGTGACTGTCACCCCCTTCCCAGACAGTCACACTGCTCAGTAACATGCCACATTTGTTTAATCCCAAGTTGACTCAGCCACAGCACCTTTTTTGGCACGG